GAGACTCGAACATTTCACCAGAAGGTAAGAGTGAGGATCAGATATTCGAGTCTCAATATCTCAAGGCAAGAAAATTCATTAGCATCGAATATTTTTCCGTCGTACTACTATGACCATGAGCTACAAGTGTGGCAAGTCGGATTTTGCTCGAAATCCAAGTTCTGTAGGCAAAAACTGACTAAAAATCGAGTATCTCAGCAACAAAGCACGATGGGCACAAACCAACTTAGGGTATTTCACTACTCACTAAGATCTAAAAGATAAAACTAGTCTGAGTTCAAAAGCAATTTATAACCTCAAAAAGTTTCCTCCCTCGTAAGTATAAGAAAAAATTCTAAGAACACTTGAAAATAAATGAAAAATTAATAAAAAAACCAAAAAGAAACTGACGTGTAGTTGCTTGAGCAGAAACTTTAAAATTTCATCACTTTCATAAAAAGAAAAATGGTCGTAGAGCGTTGTGTGTGTAGTCTTATTGTGTAGCTCAGGCTTTCCTCTACATCAGACTATGTTTAAAAAACCATTTGCACGGTTATAATCTCTTCTCTTTTTTCATAGATAAAAATGAGCAACGTCGTGATCGTATTAAGTCCCCTGGTTCTGAACATTGGACGGCATTCTCGTCTCAAATACTGACAGTTAGTTCACCAACAAAATTGACACCATCAAGTGAAAAGTTCAGTACAACATCATCAAAATCTGATAATGCTAAAAAGACAAATCGAAAGAACCAGAAAATTAAACAGGATAAAGAAGGAGAAGAAGAAGAAGAAGAAGAAAATGATGTGGAAAGTGATTCATGGTCAACATCGAGTTCAACGACAGATCATGATATAGAAATTCCAGAAAAACTGTCTCCATTATCTTTATCATCCACAAATTTATCTACAATCTCTCAACAACAAATTCCCATAATTATTACAGATTCTCAAACATTAATCGAACTCCATGAAGAATTATTTGATTTATTTCGAGATGCTATGAAGTCATTAACTGTACAAACATCGACAACACAACAACGAATATTTGTAAATTATCTACTTAATAATCAATTTGAAAATATTTATTCATCACCAGAAACACGTGAGTTCTATTTGACAATAATACTCTATAATAGTGATTTTTTATACACATTGAGTTAAAATATAAAAATGAATTTTCTTTTACTTTTGATATAAAATAGATTTAGTAATCGTAAAACTGTTTATAATAATATTGTTTTGTTTTAGCTAAGGAAACTCTGAAATTTAAATCGTCTACTGTACCCTCATCCTCTAAACAAACACCAGTACTTTCTTTAAATCGTGTAGCAACTACTGTTCTCAGTTCTTCATTAACACCACCTACAACAATATCATCAATGTTAAATGAAAGACAATTAATCTATTTACATGATTTTGAAAGTAATTTGGATATAATTCGTAAACGTATTCAATTTAATAATCAACGTTTTAATAAAATTCAATCGGATACTATTCGTTTATTAACATCAAAAGCAATGGAAATAACACAAGATGTTATTAATTTACAAAATCATGAACGAAAAAAATTTATTGAACATATTCGATTAACACAGTCACTTGAATTACGTATAAAACATTTATGGCATAATCTATCTGGTCAATTGACACATGAATTAAGTATATGGTATGAACCACAATTATATCCACAATTTTGGGAATTAGATCCAACAGAAACACCAAATCGTGAACGTCGACGATTACAACGAGCCTATTGTCTAATGAATAAAAAATATTTTCAATCGCATGTTGTAACAGAAAAATTAATGAAACCAACTTTATGGTAAGTTAAATTGATTGAAATCGATCACTAGTAAAATACAACTATTTATATCATTTAGGTATTTATTTGATTCATCAATGGGCTCTATTAATACTTCACCATCGTCTGCTCATCAATCAATGGCTATTCAAACTATTCTCTATCGTAATGAAAAAATTGAATATCAATGTCGTTGTATAAATGTAACACCATCGACTGAAATCAAAGGTGAACTATTAATTGGTATCCAACGAATTTATTTTGTAGCTGATGATCAGACAACAGCAACTACAAAAAGTAGTTCAATTCCCTATCAAACAACATATTTTTATAATTATTTTTCGGATGATTTTAATTCATTTTCATTTTGTTTTGATCAAATACGAGAAATATATAAACGACGATATATGTTAAAAGATATTGCTTTAGAATTATTTTTAACAAATGGTATTACGTTGTTGTTGGCACAAACAAATCAACATGAACGAGAACATTTATATAAGTAAGTAGACAATCAAGGCTATCAAGTCGTCTGATGTTGATTGATTTTTGATTTTAAACTTTTTTTAAAACCTATACTAAAGAAGATAGATATTATTAGAAAAAAATTCTCATATAGAAATCAAACTACGAGTAATGTAGAGAAAACGGCAAATTTTGTTCATTGTGTTCCACATATGTCTGTTTGTTCGAACTCTCAAAGATGATGAACACGCGTGTGAACATAATGTCAGCTAAACTGAAAATTAAGTTGAATAGTGAATCATGATAGGGACGGCGTATGAATCTTTTATGAAATCTTCGCCACTATTGAAAATAAATGTAGCATCACTTTAAGAAATACGTGAAATTCTAATGGTGCCAGAAAAATGACAAGTTTCGGACGTATGAGAAAACAAATAATTAAACTAGAACAATCTTCGCAAGAGAAACTGCCATATTCGATCTTTTAGAACTAGTTTTCACCGACTTCCACGTTTTAGATGAACGGTTTTTTTTGCTTGTTTTTTGAAAATTCCTTTTGTCGAAGCCCAATCCTACACATTATGTTAATGTTTCAAACCTAATTCACTATAATTGCGCTAAAACTTTTTCATATGAGTAATTTGACATACTAAATAAATTGGTATGATCAAAAGTGGATGTTGACCAAAAAAGATTTCAGGCTCAGTGACCTGGTTTTCTTTAAACCGGACTTTAAAGACTCATATGCGGTCTCTATCATAATATTTGGAATCAGAATCATCGATTACATATATCGACATATGTTTTATTCAAAAAGCGATCGAACACTTGGAGACTTTCCCCTGTAAAATCAAGTTTGTGATGAGCTTTATTGAATTGTTTATATTTTCATTTTTATTTGCACGTCAAGTTAGTCTATAAATAGTGATGGTTGAAAATCGAATAATCCAAATATTTCAGGTCCAAATGTATGGACATCGTGAACATTGTATCTTTATATATCCATCCATCGACTCAACTTCACTGCTAGAAAAAGAAACTTTTAGTCTCATATATTAATATGCTTTTGGAAAAGGCTGAAATTTATTTTAAAAAATGAATAAGATTAATTCTTTCATAAGTTTTGAGGCAGAAAATAGATTCTCTGATTACTTCTAGTTTTGAAAGTTTTCAGTTGGTAACCTTGTCAATAAAACATATCATCGTCCCAAAATATATTCAATTTTCTATTTTCTATATTTAGATTGTTATTGAAGAAAAATTTAATAAATTATATTCACGGTGAAACTCTAAACGATGTTCAATTATTATGGCGTCAAGGTTTAATAACAAATTTTGATTATATCATGTCGTTGAATAAGTTAGCTGGTCGAACATTTAACGATTTAATGCAATATCCTATTTGTCCGTATATTATCTCTACTTATGACAAAGATATTTTAGATTTACATATGACACAGAATTATCGTGATCTAACAAAACCAATTGCCATACAGCATAAAGAAAAAGAAGAAAAATTTATTGATATGTATAAAGCACTAAAAGAATCGCATGAATTATCATTAGCAGATAATGTAGATATATCAACAGCTTCTACCAGACGTTCATTTGGTCCACAATCGGATCCCTATCATTTTGCATCATTATATTCAAATAGTGGAATTGTTTTACATTATTTGGTGAGACTACTACCGTATACAAAAATGTTTCTTGATTATCAAGATCAAAATTTTGATTGTCCCGATCGAACATTTCACGATATCAAAACATCATGGTGGTTATCGTCATATGAATCAACATCAGATTTCAAAGAATTGATACCAGAATTTTATTTTTTACATGAATTTCTATTGAATAAACAACAATTTAATTTTGGTATTAAACAAAATGGACAAAAAGTAAATGATGTTTGTCTGCCTGCGTGGGCAAAGAAAAATCATAGATTATTTGTAAATATTTTACGTCAAGCACTTGAATCCGATTATGTTACACAACATATTCATCAGTGGATCGATCTTGTATTTGGATTTAAACAAACAGGTAATTTGTCAAGGAAATAACATGACTCTTTTCGAATATAAATTTTGTCTATTTAGGTAAAGCAGCATTAGATGCCATAAATGTATTTCATGCTGCATGTTATTATGGTTATCCTATTGATACTGTTGGTGATGAAGTAACGCGCAAAGCACATCAGGGTATTATTCGAACGTGTGGACAAGTACCCAAACAATTATTTCCTCAACAACATCCATCTATAATTTCAACTTCAACTGTACACAGTTCGAATGGAACAGTATCAAGTGTTCCGAAACGAAGTGAACGTGGAATATTCGAACAAACTTTGCCTATTGATAGCATTCACCGACATGCTCTCGGTGTAAAATGGGGTGATTTTGTTGGTTCGTATGATCAACCATCACCTGAATACGTCTCAAAACATGAATGTCCAATACCAGTTGTTCAATTTATTTGTTTGAGTAATGGAAATGAAATTATTTGTTTACCACCATATACTTCGTTATTTTATCAACAAAATCAAGAAGCGAGAATACGTTCAGCATCAACAGGTGCATGATTAACTGTTTATTATCTAATTTAGTTATTCTTTGTTATTTTCTTTTTAGTCAATACAACAGTATCGGATACAAGTCTTTCGAATGATCCAATGATTGTTCTTAAATGGAATACAAGTGATAGTGTAGTACGATGTCGACAATTGCGTCAACAAAAACAATGGTATAATTTTTATATTTCACATAGTTCTGATTCTGATTATGATAAAATAACATCTTGTGCATCAGTCGATTATTGTTTATTGTTTATGGGTAAAAAATCAGGACTTATTGAAGTATTTAAAGTAAAACGAACAAAAACGTTATCGCCATGTGGAATTGAATTAGTTCGACGCTATTTACCATTTATCGCACATCGATCACCTATAACATGTTTACATGTCAATAAACAATTTAGTCTTCTATTAAGTACAAGTGCCGATGGAATGTTGATATTATGGGATACAAATCGGTAAATTTCTTTTTATTAATTTAACTTGTCAAAAAAAAAGAGAAGAATACCTCGAATATGAGTAAAACAATTTTGAGCAAAAAACTGATGAGCAAATGGAAGATGAGCAAAAAAGTGAATAACAGATTATATGTGTATCATTTTTATAATAGAACTGTAGCCATTTTTTCCAGTAGTTGATAAATTATGCTCGATCGGTCATCATTTAGTGAAAGATGATATATCATTTTAAGAAAGAAAACGATGTTGAAACAAAACTAGAGACTCAGCCTTCCCAGTAGTATTAATGAGTTGATATGAAATGGTTTTTTTGCTAGCTACATCTTTCGCCCTTAGTAAATCAAAGAATGGATATTTTTACTCAAAGCAATTTTGCTCATTTTCTAGTTGCTCAAAACAGATTTGCTCATCTTCTATTTGCTCAAAGTCCTTTTGCTTAACTGATTTTTTTGCTCAAAATAAATTTGTTCAAAACTGTTTTTGCTCATTTTCTTTTGCTAAGAGTCGTTTTGCTTAAATTATTTTTGCTCATATTCGAGGTTACCAAAAAAAAATCCTCATTAGAAATTTTTTTATTTCAGTTTAAGTTATGTTCGTCAATTTAAACATGATGATAATCCTATTTATTGTATTTCTGCATCTGAGACAACATGTGATATTTGTTATTTATGTTCAAATGGTGCTTCTGAATGGTATTTATTCTATTTGACATGTAACTGTGATCTTATTGGATCACTCACATTTTCTGAACAAATCAATTGTATATGTTTTACGAATGCTCCAGAAGGACAAGCGATAAATATGATTATTGGTGGCTTTGAAACAGGTAAAATTCAAATGTGGAGTACATGGGATTTAACATTGTTACGACAATTAGATTTTCACCAATTAAAATCGTGTCCAATTGTAGCCATAACAGTATCAAAAATAGATCGACGACGATTGTATATAAGTGATAGAAATAAACAATTACATGTAATTGAAACAAATGGCCAAATTAATTCACAAATTAATACAAATAGATCAACTTTATTAAAAGTAGCACAACCACCACAAGTATTATTTCTTACATAATTTATATAAATATAGAACAGACAAATTGCAAACTAATATCCACTACTTACAGTAGTTTAAATGTCATAAAGTCAGTGCGAGTGTTCTACTAATTTTATTGATTTTTTCTTTAACTGTCGTACTGAGATATTGCATGACGAATTTCACTGAAAATATTCGTGCTATTTTACATATATTAAAGCACATTTTTGATCAGATCATTAAATTGTGCAAATCATAGAGAAAAAAAAAGAAGAAAACATTGACGTTTTCTTTCCTCTAATGTCACTAGAACAAGAGTTTTTGAAATAGTGACAGTAGTAAAAGAAAAGTGATACGAAAACAGTGCTTTGTTTTTGTCCTATCCGACTATTCAATATTATTCTTTCATTGTGATAATAATGGGTGTTATTTTGCGTGCAATATTACTTTTTTTCTGAAACAATTATAGTGAATTTTTTATTTGCTATTTTGAACAAATTTGTTATTTATATATCCATTTCTCTTTTAAAAACATATTTAAAAAAACTAAAATTTTCTTTATATATAGAATGCATGAAACTATGTGCGTTTTGCACACTCTAAGTTATATTAATTATGAATAAGTTTTCCACTCCTTTATCTTATATTTTAGAATTCTCCAGAAAGTAGGACATATATATATTACATTATTCTGAGGTGTACAGTGGGCAACCATGTGGACATTAGGTGAAAAAACGAAAGTGAGATTTTTCGAGATTTAAATAGCAGAGCATGTACTTCATCATACGCACTATAGCTTTGCCATTGCAAGTTTTTTTTAGGCGTCAGTTTTAGCAGGAAAATCGACGACGAATTCTTTTTAGGAAAACAGAGCAGCTGAGATCGAAAATCATTTTGCGACGAAACAATAGACGATATTTTACATAGTCTAAAACCAGACATTTCGCACGTCGAAAATGTGTGCTCAGTGTAATCGATTTTCGATTTTTTCCGAAGCTTCCAATTCAGCGAATTTTTTACCGAAGGTAGACCTACCAACGATACATATATACTGATAACGCAAACTAGCGCAAATGCTCCTGTATTTGGTTATAGGTTTTCCAAAAAACCCTCGATTTTTCAGATAATTTAGATTTTCACAGTTTATTAGCACTTGAATTAAAAAATAAGGTGATATTTGGAATCAGCGTGAAAAACTACGTCGAATGCTGTATAATTCAGCCGTGTTTGTACGGAAAATTTTAAATTTAGTTGATTCCTTTGTTTCTTGCGTGTATAGGGATTTTTGACTGAAATTATGAACAGATGAAATCGTCTTAACACTATTGCAATAGATTATCGATGATTCTCTATCCAATGCAATTGTTTTCGAGTTTTTTAAAGGTATTCTAAGTGGTTTTCTAGAGACCGAATCTCTGGAAAACCACTTAGAAAACCTTTTTAGAATTAGAAAAGCTTTCGATTAGATAGAGCACACAAGGTAACCTGTAGAAAACGCATTTTTAAGTTTTCCACTAGCTTGCAGGTCAAAAGTCCACGTGTCTAGTGAAAATTGCCCACTGTGAGGTGTAGAAATCATTCCGAAACATCTAATCTACTAGTTCTCGAAAGTACTTCCCTGAATTGAATTGCTTAAATAAAGTTCATATCATTAGAAAGTTATTAGAAACTTTATTCTCATTTACAAAGACGTACAGCTTATTTTCAGTACTCTTTTCTTTGCGGTCCATCTGAAGCACAAAAAATAGGTCTTTTTTGTTCTATTAACGCTTTTTAGCTATCAAGACGGTATCTATGTAAACAATTTAGTTTAAACTCTTCTGTTTTCTGAATTATACAGCAGACAAAAAGAAAATAAAAGACAAGAATATAACAGATCATCAGAACGACAGAAAAATCAACAATAAACAACAATGTACCATCGTTCAGTCTCAGTTGAAAGGACAAAACGTCATACGGGAGGACACACTTCTTTCTGAGAATAAGATCAGTAGAGCTAACACTTCTTTATTAACGGGTAGATCATTTTTTTGATCCGATTTAGTCAGCTCTTCTAAGTAGAACTTTGCCTTTGTTATTGAAGAAGACATTTTTATAATTCGAGAGTTATTCGATGCAAATGTTTTTCATACACAATAAAAATATTTTACGGGCGTATTTTAAACTAGTCTATGACTATGGCAAAAGAAAACAATCCTACTCTTCCATTAGCAGCAGTAAAAAATATTTTTTTAGTTTTTTAAAATACTATGTTTTTAGAAAGTGGATTATTTTGTTTTTATTTTTAACTTCTGTTTTCAGTATTAACTGAGTTGATAAATAGATTATTTTTATTTTATTTAAATATCTGTTTGGTGAGTGAGTTTTTATTTTTTAATGTACATAGGGCTTTTTCGGTTTTCTTGGCTTAATAATATTTCTGTTTTTGTTACAAAAAAAGAAAAAATATATTTTTTCATAATAGAAACTATTTTCGTAAAAGCCAAATATATGGATTGATATTTAAATTCTGACGGCCACTGCTGAATGAGAATATTATAAGGTTAAATATTTTATATGCATAGACAGAGATAGTCTTGACCACTATCTGCTCGTTTTTCACATTACTTCTACAGTACTCCAAAAAAGTTTAGAGCCTTTTGTTTTTCGTTTATTTTTCAAACGCGTTGTTATAGAATCTTGGTTCAAATGGTGATATACTTTGAGCAATGCTCTACAAGATGTACGATTCAGAAAATCATTCCGGTGCTTTTAGGATTTTTAAAAATTTAGCAAAAATATAGGTTTTCTGGTTTCTCGTATTTCGCGTTTCCTAACCAAGAGATTTTCGTTAAAAATTTTTGAATACATATAGTTCGATAGAGAATTTAAAGTGCTATTTTTTGGTAAAAAAATATTGGACTTTATCTTGGGCCTTGATATTCAAATACCGGGTTTAAAGGACTTGACCGTGGA